CTTCAAAAATTTAAATGCAACGTCAATTGCCATCTTCTGTTTTCTTTGATCCCTGTCCTCTTTTTTCCTTTCCACTTTCCCCACTACAGTCACTCTTTTCTCTCGCTTTCATTCTGCGTAACCCTTTGTCTGCTAGTCGCACTCCTGACTTGCTTGGGGTGAAATGCTTTAAAAAAAAACATTGTGGCATCATTACCTGTGGAAGATTGGATATATGTAGATGAAGGTTAAATTATTACGCATGTTTCATAAAATTACGTCTGGTCGTATTCAGTTTTTGTCCCGTTAAATATTTGTTTACAATTATTCGGTTATATAATCTAATTGTTTGTGACATTTTGATCTTTTTCAGCCAAAATTCACTCTTGCCATTTGGAAACTAAAGTCATTTAAAGCGACCAAAAAAACTGATCGCATGATCAAATCTGAGAATTCTGTGTTTGGATCTTTTAATCAGAGATATTTCCATGCGTAGCCTCATTCTAATCTTCATTGGTGTCAAGTGGATCATGACTTCTTTACATTTACACAATGCGTTCAGGTTTGTATCTCTCTTCGTGCTGTGTTCACAGTCAACCTGCAGTAAAGATACGACACCTGAAATATATTTTCGAATACATTTTTAGTAAAATTAAGTAAATCGATTTTTACGTCGGTAGTTATTTTTTTAACTTTCATATTGTTCTGTTTGGAAACAACATATTTCCTTCGTCTATTTATCAATTGTCCTATTTTGTTTTTAATAATACTATACAAAACCCGAGAGCCACTCAAATTAGACAGATAGTGAATTTGTTAGCTGAGTGAACAAGAATTGTAAGAGTATTAGTGTTATGGGACCTTTCCCATAATAACATAATGGACTATTCCATACGTAATAAATAATGCGCCTCAAAAGGAACCAGGGAGTTCAGCCTGAAGTCGGACGACCAGCTGACCGGCTGATCGGTTGAACTCTCCGCCTTCGGGCAGGGAGGAACCTGAAAGAGGCTGCGCCGAAGGGCGGATTCTCTTTCGGGGAGATAAACCGACCCTGAATCCGTTTATACGGGTTCAAAGGGCATATTTTTGGCCGAGCCCACGGGCTCGGAGATCCTACATTAAACCGGCTTTGTGCCATATAATGCCCACGTTGGGGGGGGGGACTAAATACCATTCCGTCTGAAATCTCGACTTCAGTCTGAAGTCTCGAGCGAGGAGTCAGTCAGTCGAGTCAGAGGCAGTCCGAAACAGAGTTGTTCAGACAATTACTACTAAACCTAATTGTTTTTACTAACACTTTCTACTTCTCTGTATATATTCCTGTTTTTAATATATCTGTGTTATTCCTTATACGTGTTTGAGTTCTTCTTTATTGGTTCTACCTTGGACTATTACCGCGGTACAAGGAACCGGACCATAACAATTAGCTAATAAGAAAAATTACATGCTAGACAACAAAAATCTCCTAAGCTGTCTAGGCATAAACTTGAATACAATATGCAAACAGGTAACAGCTAGATAAAAAATAATACCAATAAAAAACTAAAAACAAAACTTGTAATATGAGCTTTGGTAAAAAAAATTGTTACTCAGATATTAGGTTTAAGTCCACTCCAAAATGTCCCAGAGGATAAAAGTGTTGGTTGAAGTAATCCAGTGACTTGACCCAAAGAGTTGTGAGTTCAATACCTCGTCATAGCAGAGGCGAACAAAATTTTAGGGTTGTGATACTGAAGGAAAATAATTAAAACTGAGATATCCAGAAAAGGCATGACACGTGGACTAAATAAAGGGTTTAATTGTAAATGTCAACGTACATCACCTGAAGAAGACTGAAACGTCTTGAATATAGCAACAAAGATGAAGACAACTGCCGAACAACATCCGACCATTACATCTACATTCGAATCTGCCCTTGGTTGATTTCTCAACGTTTTAATTGCTGATTATATTGGCCTAGGGAGATCATCATACCTTGCCACACTGTGGAGATGTGCCTGAAAACCATATCATGTATTAACCGAAACCTTGTGGGTGAAATTGGGTGAAAGTAACTGTTCAAAAGCCATCGTTGCTTGTATTAATAAAAATTTGCCAGTCATCATGGCTGAGGGTTCGAACACACTGGCTCAACTACTGTTTGCATCACAATAATTGCAGTCTTCCAGAAACTGCAACTAAGATCTGCTCCTATTTTTGCAGTTTAAATACAGCTTGACTCAGTGACTGTTGATAAAAAAAGAAATCTGCCTGAGCAGATACCTTCCAAAGGGTTTGGCAAACGGCCCTAGCAAGTATGCATTTATTAGAACCAGAATAATCTGAAATAAAACTGCATGTTAAAAGTTTTCTAGCGGAGTAGCTGTTTTTATTGATGGAAGAAATTATTTGCCTGACCCTATTAATTTATTTAAATGCACAAATGTCATGAAAACAACCGATGAAAAAAATCGATGACTTTTGTAGCTGTTCGAGGCGTAAAAACTGTCAGCAAGAAGCGTCGTCAATGTGTAAACAAATCTTGAATGACATATATGATTGGTGGACAGTTGGCTGAACGGCCTCGAATAAAAAAAAAGGCGCCAATGCGATCCACTGTCTTAAAATAGTATTCTGATCTATCGCAAAACTGCAAACGTAAACAAAGTTCCTGCTTTAGAATTACAATGCCCAAAGAATAAAAAAATCGTAGCAAGTATATTTCTTTCAAGGATTTCTCTGGCTTGGGAGAATTTTAAGTTTACCGCTTCATATTTCTTCTCTTTCGAAAAATTGACAGGACATTGGTAACTTTCAGAAAGATAGAGAGAGAAAGAGAGACAGTGGCGGGGAGAAAGCGAAAAAAGTAAAACTGAAATTGTAATTCTTCGATTCTTTGGTGTTAGCGGCATATCTACACATCTATGGGTCGTTTAATGTCGAAATCTAAATACTTAAAACGAAATCGTACGCCTTCATCTACATGTAAAATGCATTGTTAGTCGTTTTGCTATAAAATGTCTTGTTGGTGATTCGACTATAGAATAGTATTGTTGGTAATTTTATTATGAATAGGTATTGTTGTTAATTTTACTATAAATAGCAAAATTTGCAACAACAGGTATTGTTAGTAATCTTTTTATATAAATATGTTTTGCCGGTAATTCTAATATAAAAATGTATATTTATACTTTCATAGATTTGTGTGTTTTGCTTGAGAGTTCCCTATTTGCCCATAGCTGGGACCCTAACAGGCGCTATCACCCGGATCAGGTTGGACCTGGCAACATGAAGCAATTAAGAGGTGGTTTCACGGCCCACAAATCCATCAATCTCCCGATCAGAGGCCTTGCTGCCGGATGTAGTTTATCGTCATACCCTATGATTGGTATTTCTTCGTTAATTCTTTTTCATTTAGCATCTTAATATTCCTTGAAGGCGTCTTTCCTAGACAACCTTATAGTTATCACACTTGTTCATATACCGGGTGACATATATATATTTACCCATTTTTTGTTTCATCATAAAATAAAATAAAAGTTTTGGTTTTGGTTCATGAACGTTTACAAACCGATTATTATATTTTGCATATATATATATATATATATATATATATATATATATGTAGATCATTGCTACCAGCAAGCAGAATTTTTTTTCTCTTCTGATGATGGGCATGTTGGCCGAAACTAGTCGAGGAATCTAAATGAAATAATACTAATAAAAACGACGACATACATACATCTTTAATATTTAAACTTAGGGCTGTTGAGTTCTTTCCTCACAGTGTGTTCAAAGAATTCCCTATAAGAAGATCAGACGGTGACAACTGCCACAAAAGTCCAATATATGATCAATATTGATTGGAACATCGTGGAGAATAAGTAATCCACGTTTAAAAACCATTGATCATGTGTGCAAGAGCTGATAAACATACTTCATGTCATTCATATATATATATAATTATTTATTTAAAAATTATAACATAAATATGTTAAAATCACTGCAAAAATAGCCATTTTGTTTGTGATGATGTTGAATGTAAAATAAATGGTTTTAAAACCATTTATTTTACATTCAACATCATCACTTGATAAGACACCGGAAGTGTTGAAACAAAATGGCTATTTTTGTAGTGATTTTTAACATATTTATGTTATAATTTTTAAATAAATAATTATACTGCTCTACTCTGTATTGAGCACTCTTTTAAGAATATTAATTGTTGGTTATTGGAATTTATTCCGTATACACACCAATCATATACTTGGGTATATATATATATATATATATATATATATATATATATATATATAAAGAGAGTGCCGCAAAGAGTTGTAATGTGTTATTGAGAAAAAAACACTTTGTTGAAATAATTTAAAAACAAAGTATAATATTTTTTCGCAATAAATCCACATTACAACCAAAAACGATGTAAACTCTTATTTTAATATACATACATACTTTTCTCTCGTTGGAACCACTACAACATATTTTTTATATATATATATATATATATATATATATATATATATATATATATATATAAAGAGAGAGAGAGTGTGTGTGTGAGCGAGAGAGGTATATCGATGCAATGGTTCCCTACCTATTTTGGGCCATTTCTCACTTTGGTATTTCTAAAATTCTAGTACCCTCCTTCCGTAATGCTAACTGAATATATATATACATGTTTACAATGTGCCGTGTTTATGAGGGAAGAGTACTTAGCGTATAAAGGAAATATAGTGTATTTAAAATTTAAAAAATTAACTTCCTCCAGGTCTGATATACCTGATTGATTCATTTTTACGGCTTATCAACCCTATTGATTTTATTTAAAGTCAGAAAATATTTTATATTGTAAGATTTCTTTAAGGAGATAATAATGGTTTTAATGATAATTTTATTAATTTTGCCAGAGGAGAAGAGGTGGATTCATGCCTTTACCAAGGGTATTTGAGCATGCATGAATATAACGAACCCAACCAGAATTGGAACTCAACCAAGCTATCATCCATTTCAACGCTGGTACAATCAAGCTTACAGCACCTGCTATTCCCAACCAGATCACCCATCTATGTACTAACCAGGCTGGATGTTGTTTAACTTCGGTGTTCGTACTGGAACGTGTGTTTTAACTTGATAGCACACTTGAGTAAGCGATACGTGAAACATCGCTCTTTAATATGAACCATATCGCAAAGTCCATACTATTAATATCGGGGCTTGATGGACATTAAACGATTTACTGTTAATCTTCTTATATCTTATTTGTAAGAGCCTATCTGTTTTTATATGATTAATAATTAAAATTTCGTTTATAAAGCTCATTTTTTCGGCCTTACTTTAGTTTTATTTCATCTTTTTTATAAGCCCAATTTGGAGTTTTCTAGCTTGAATGTGTTTAGTTTTGTAGACTCGTCTTTTTCCTACCTATCACCCCTAGTAGCAGAACAGTCTATATCTTACGCCTACGCACGGAAAACTTCAACCAATAAAAACCGTACTAGGCGAATCAACAAATCTCATTGGTTAACGACACAATAATCTGAAAGTTTCACGTGCAAAACGAAATTGCGCCAAAACGTAAGTGAGCCGACTTCGGACTTTCAGAACTTATAAAAGGAAACTTGCAATTTAAACTCAACCAACTCTGTGGACATCGAATCACGAACCTTGCTTGTCCAAAGTGAATTATATTCACTACCTATTAAGTAAACATCAACGTGCGAACGACTTTAAAAATATTACAGTCAAAGGTAGATCACTCCTTAAGAACTCCTACCAAAAAGACAGTTAATATTGACAATTTTAATATCAACACAAATATAAAAGGACTGTAAATGAACAAACGAATACTAAGAGAGACATACTGAAACCTAAAATATCACACACACTTTGCCAACATATACCAATTATCCTGCTTGTATATTGTTTTGAATTGTATATACATGTTTTATTAGTTTCTAAATTGAATATGTCTTGTTCTTAATCGTGTTTAAAATTCGTTTGTTTATTTGTTTGTGGATGCAGAAAGTCACGCAACCTACACAAATTCCTTCTGATTCTTTCAAGTATAATTAATAAATTCTGCACGTCCCCAACAGTTTTTTTTTCCTTTTAAGTAATGTCGATGAAAGTTCCAGTTTGTTACTATCGCTGACAAAAGAATCTGAGTACCAGTTGAAATCTCGTAGATTTTGATGACCGAGTAACATCGTTAAAGTACGAAACAAATATAGTGTTGGGCAAAAGGGAATAGTGCTCGTAGATAAACTCTTTGACTTTAGTATCAGCACAAATAGATTAAATAGTCTTGAGATAATATATCGTCGTTCGTTGATAAAGCACAAAAGAAATCACTTAAAATCCTTGAGTTGTGGACGGTAAAGTATAATCTATAACAAATGCATTAAAAATAGCCGAATGTTGATTGGTAAGACTTAGCAGGAAATCAAACGTACAGGCCGGAAATGGCAAGGTGGACAGAAAACAGGTAGATGTCACAGAAGACGTTTGGTGCGCAAGGAAAACTGACATGCGCAGAAATACTCGAACGCTGTGTTTTTACCGCCCAATAAGAATTGGCGGGAAAAGGAATTGAACATGCCGGAAGTGGCGAAATACAAAAACAATGGCGATGAGCCAGAAAACACAACTGAACGTGGTGCGTTCGGAATTAACAAAACAATGTTAGTAAATGGAGAAGCATTCGGATGGATTTCTCAACAGTTAATCAGGAAATTAATCGACCGCGAGGCCAGAGCGAAAGGAAAGAATAGCTTAGAAAGAGAATTCTTAGCTGAGAAAGTTGGAAAAGCATTTTTCCAAGAAAGAGATTTGAAACGTAAGAGAAAAAAAAAGCAAAAACAAAAAGATGGAAGAAGTGTCTTGTCACCATTAAGACAGAAGTCAACTGCTATTTCCTTTGAGAAGAGTCGATATTTAACCGACACCCCCCGAACCAGAATGTGGTACAAGGCCGGTTTTTATGTGTGACTATCCGAGCCCGTAGCTTCGGGCAAAAATTCCCCGTAGAATCCCGGATAAACCGGGTCGGATTTGTATACCTCCCCAGACGAGGCTCTGCTCGTAGGCACAGCGTCGTCTGGGTTACTCACTTCTCGAAGGCAGAGAGTCCGACAGAGAGTTCTTCCGGAAGAAGAGTCTGTGACTTACCTTGTCTCCCCACTGTGCATGTTTGTGACACAAGGTCGGTTTTTAACGTGAGGACCCGAGTGTTTCCACTCGGGCTACTGGCTTAAGCTGGTCTTAGCATGTCTAAATTGGTCAAAGCTTGTCTAAGTTGGTTAGAGTTTGTCAAAGCTGGTCTAAGCTGGTCAGAGTTTGTCTAAGCTGGTTAGAGCTTCTCTAAGATGGTTAGAGCTTGTCTAAGATGGTCTAATTTGGTCAAAGTTTGTCTAGGCTGGTCAGAGATTGTCTAAGCTAGTCATAGCCGGTCATACCACCGCTACGTAACAGATGTCACGGAACGGTGTGCGGGGGCGTGGGGGCGCTATCGAAGGAGAGAAGCCTCCAGAATGGAACAGGTACTACAAGCGCATTATCTACTCCAAAGGGAAAATAATTAATGTATTATTTGTCTTAAGCATATTTTTCGTTATCCATCTGATGAAGCCATATAGGCGAAACGCATTATCGGATATTATTTTTGAAACCTATTTCCGTGAATCTTTTTCGAAATGTCAATAAAGTATAACTCTGTCGGGATTACATAACCAAATTTATTACATGCTGTCGACATAGACAACGCATGGATAACAATAATTGTTTTATCTACGATTTTTTAAAGTCACTCATTTTATTTCTCTTTTTTAGTCTCGAGAAACGCCATCTTGGGAAAAATAATATAAGATTTAATTATTTTAAACACACACAAATTCATACACATATTTCGTTATCCATCATCTGATGAAGCTGTTATTGACGAAATTCATTATCGGATATTATTTTCGAAAATTACTTTCATGAATGTTTTTCGAAATGTCAATAACGTATAACTCGAGATTATATGCCCAAAGTTTTTTATATATATATATATATATATATATATATATTAGGGTGCCGCAAACGTTTTTTTGGATTTGTATATGTATATATCGAGAAAAAATATATACTTTGTTTTACATATTTTCGACACGTGTTTCTGGTCTGGTCTATGAAACACGTGTTTTACATATTATAAAAATAATTAATTTTTTTTTATTAAATGTGGAATATTCTCAATGATCTCTTTTTCAACACCTCGTTGGAACCACTACAACATATTTCCTTTATATATATATATATATATATATATATATATATATATATATATATATATATATATATATTATATTGGACAATGAGGTCAACACCGAGTGGCATCAATTTATTTCAAGCTTGAACGCAATTATTTATGCTATATGTGTGGTCTCGACTATTTATATATACTGATTAATGGGATATTATGGATACTAATGTCAGATATTTCCGATTCATTATATTATCCTAATTGTTATTGTGTAGTCGGCAACGGTTATATTTTAAATAAATGTAGATGCTATTGAGTAAAAAAAAATATTGGCTGGAAGGTGTTTATTTGTGGCGATTGTATAGTGTTGTTTAAGATTTAGTCCATGTATTTATTATAGATTAATTACTTAAAGTATTTTGTATTTACTCATTAATTATTTGTTGCTGATTATTGTTTATTATTATTATTATTATTATTATTATTATTATTTTCTTTGATTTCTGGCGTTTACACATTTCTTTCCGGGTCCCGCCCAGGACCTAAGGTTAGAAATGGCATCATGACACTTTCCACTGACAAGAAAAAAAAAGAAATTACATAGATAAAGCGCTTCGTAAAGTGTAGACTGTACTTATCAGAACAATTTTTGTATCTCTTTCGGGCATGGACTTCCAGGAATCCCTTCAATTAGTCTACTGCAATCTTTTCCAACCAGTCCTAGGGCTCCAACTACAACAGGGATTGTTGATGTTCCCATATGCCACATTTTCGAGATTTCTATTTCAAGGTCCTTGTATTTTGACAGCTTTATTATTATTATTATTATTATTATTATTATTGTCATCATCATCATCATTCGATTTCTGCTATGGACACACTACCTACCAAGTCTGCGGAAAGACCTAAGGCAGGTCGTGGTGTGTTGTTATGGCCACATTTCATGTTTTTTTTTTTTTTTTTTTTTTTATCTCCGATGAAGTTGCTAGCGTTACATAGACAAAGTTCTCCTTAGTGTGTGTGCTGTACTTAATAAGACAATTTTCTGTATGTCTCTTAAGCTGGGTTTTCAGGGATTCTTTCAATGTGTTGTTTTGTTCCATTTTTTATAATTCCAAGTGCACCTATTACCACTGGTATTATTCTTGTTTTCAATTTCCACATTTTTCTATTTCAATTTCCAGGTCTTTGTATTTTGATAGTTTTTCAAATTCCTTGGTTGCTATGTTACAATCCGCTGGACAAGCCATATCAATTAGTAGGCAAGTTTTTTCTTTCTGGTTTTTGACAATAATGTCCGGCCTATTTGCTTCAATTTTTCTGTCTGTGTGGATGGTATAATCCCATAGAATGGTGACATCTTCTATTTCTGTAACCGGCGCTGGCCGATGTTCATACCAGTGTTTGCTTACACATTTTCCAAAGTGTTTGCACATTGTCCAGTGTAAGTATTGCCCCACTCTATCGTGACGATTTTTATATTCATTTGGGGGCAAGTATAGAACATCCTGAGATTAGATGGTCTATTGTTTCTTGGTATTTGTCACAGAACCTGCATTTTGGATCCACATTATTATGTATGATATTTGCCTGAAAATTCCTAGTGAAAAGACTCTGGTCTTGCGCTGCAAGAATAAAGCCTTCAGTTTCAGACTTTAATCCAGATGCTCGTAACCATCGATGAGTATTAACTTTATCAACATTGGGTTTATTTGCACGTTCTGGATATTGGCCATGCAGAGGTTTGTCTTGCCAGCGTTGTTTCATCTGTTCAAGGGCTTTATTATTATTATTATTAATATTATTATTATTATTATTATTATTATTATTATTATTAATAATAATAATAATAATAATAAATTTACTTAGTGCATTCGTTTTTTG